TTCTTATGACCATATTTGGTTTGGCCACACCTGTTTCACAGTTTTGTGCACAATGCTTGTCAGTATTAGAACTATGTAGCACTTTAAAGACTAACAAGATGGTTTATTAGATGATGAGCTTTCGTGGGCCAGACCCACTTCCTCAGATCAAATAGTGGAAGAAAATAGTCACAATCATATGTACCAAAGGATACAATTAAAAAAAAGAACACATGAAAAGGACAAATCAAATTTCAGAACAGAAGGAGGATGCGGGAGACAAGGGGAAGGTAAATGTCTGCGAGCTAATGGTATTAGCTTCCCCAATTATCACCTCTATCTTTGTAATGGGTAAGATAAGTGGGGTCTTTGTTGAGACCCACGCATACAGTGTCGAATTTTAGCATGAAAGGGAATCCTCTGAACTGTCATTCAAGTGCAGATTTAAAAGGCTTCTGAAGCAGGATGCAGGTAATTAAGTCGTTGAGACAGTGTCCTTTCTGGTTGAAATGGCAAGAAACTGTTTTTTCTTTGATCCTGTCTAATATCTGTTTTGTGGGCATTGATCCTTTGGCGAAGTGTCTGAGACGTTTGTCCAATGTACAAAGCAGACGGACACTTTCGGCACATGATAGCATAAATTATATTTCTGGATGCGCAGGAATATGTATTCTTGATCTTATAACTCACTTGGTTAGGTCCAATAATGGTATCAGCAGAGTGAATATGTGGACAAAGCTGGCAACGGGGTTTGTTGCAAGGGAAGGTACCAGGGTTGGTATTAGGCAGATGATTTTGTGGAAAATCTTGCCAGTCTAGACACAGCCATGGTGTCCAACAAGTTCTGAAGCAGTAATCACTGTAGTGGCTACTGCTTTGGCAAACTAGCCAGACTCAACTGGCTAAATAGCGACATGTGGTTAGAAGCTAGTGTGTTGGACCCCACAGGCTTATATCATTAAAACTGTGTTACTAGCATATCCTACTTCCCCTCAGTGAGGCACACAATAATGGTAAAAGTGCAAGTCTTGATGGTACAACTGTGTCTGGGGATGTCTAGGGATGTAAATTCCTGTTTAACTGGTTAACCGGTTAAAAATGATGATTAACTGGTTAACCAATTAAATAGGAGAGGTGAGGGAGGGAGCACCCCCTGCCCTCACCTCAAGCAGGGGCTCCTTTAGCCTGACAATGGCAGCCTCTTCCTGCAATGAGCCCAGGCATGCCCTTGTCTGTGGCGGCCCTGAGGGACTGAAGCAGCCCCCTGCCCACAGCAGGCAGGGAGTATGTAACTGTATGAGTCAGTGGGTTTTCTGTAGAGGGTGGTGTCTAATATTCCATTGTTGATTTGTACTGTGGTGTCCAGGAAATGGATCTCTCGTGTAGAATGGTCCAGGGTGAGGTTGATGGTGGGGAGAGATCCATTTCCTGAACATCACAGTGCAAATCAACAATGGAATATTAGACACCACCCTCTACAGAAAACCCACTGACTCATACAGTTACATACTCCCTGCCTGCTGTGGGCAGGGGGCTGCTTCAGTCCCTCAGGGCCGCCACAGACAAGGGCATGCCTGGGCTCATTGCAGGAAGAGGCTGCCATTGTCAGGCTAAAGGAGCCCCTGCTTGAGGTGAGGGCAGGGGGTGCTCCCTCCCTCACCTCTCCTATTTAATTGGTTAACCAGTTAATCATCATTTTTAACCGGTTAACCAGTTAAACAGGAATTTACATCCCTAGACATCCCCAGACACAGTTGTACCATCAAGACTTGCACTTTTACCATTATTGTGTGCCTCACTGAGGGGAAGTAGGATATGCTAGTAACACAGTTTTAATGATATAAGCCTGTGGGGTCCAACACACTAGCTTCTAACCACATGTCGCTATTTAGCCAGTTGAGTCTGGCTAGTTTGCTAAAGCAGTAGCCACTACAGTGATTACTGCTTCAGAACTTGTTGGACACCATGGCTGTGTCTAGACTGGCAAGATTTTCCACAAAATCATCTGCTTTTGCGGAAAAACTTGCCAGCTGTCTACACTGGCTGCTTGAATTTCCGCAAAAGCACTGACGATCTCATGTAAGATTGTCAGTGCTTTAGTGGAAATACTATGCTGCTCCCATTCGGGCAAAAGTCTTTTTCCGAAAAACTTTTGCGCAAAAGGGCTAGTGTAGACAGCAGAGATTCGTTTTCTGCAAAAAAGCCCCGATCTCAAAAATGGCGATCGGGGCTTTTTTGCGGAAAAGCACGTCTAGATTGGCCACGGATGCTTTTCCACAAAAGGTGCTTTTGCGGAAAAGCGTCCTGCCAATGTAGATGCACTTTTCCGAAAATGCTTTTAACGGAAAACTTTTCCGTTAAATGTAGACGTAGCCCATGGGTATAAGCTGTATCCATAGTAGAAGTGCTTTGCAAAGCTCTGGTAAAGTACACATGGCTACTGTTCTACTGTGCCTTGGAGGAATTGCTAAGTAGGGATGTTATATTGTGAGTGATTGACTAATCGATGCATTTTGCATCGACTATTTGATTAATCGATAGGACACCTCCGCCTTGAAAATATAGCAATAGCTGTAGGACTTTTGCTACACTTCAAAGGAGAGAGCACTGCGTGGAGCCTGGGATCAACTGGGGACTCCCCTGCTAACACCAGGCTCTGTGTGGTGCTGACGCTTTGAAATACCACAGGGAGCCCAGCATCAGGCTCCACTTGGCATTTCAAAGTGGTAGAGCCACATGGAGCCCCGGGGTCAGTGGGGGAGTCCCATGATGATCCCGGGCTCCACAGGGTGCTTGCCCCAGGCTCCGCATGCTGGTGCTTTGACGTACCCTCTCTGCTTCTACCTCTCCAACCCCGCCCCGCTTTCTGCTTCTTTCTGATAGAGGCAGCAAGGAGCAGGGGAAGCCACTAGTTAACTAGCCTGTCAACTAGTCCTTCACATCCCTATTGCTAAGCATAGATATCTTCCCTTGTAGCTCTGGAAGGGATTGTGTATTACTCTCCCCTTATTCTGTGCTGTTCTTCTCCCCCTCCTCCAAATAGCTGAATGACTGGTGTTCTGCTGGCTACTCATGCACAGAACACTTCCTTTGCAGCTCTGGAAATGCTGTGTCACTGGTAATGACACAAGCACACTTGTCTTCTATAGGTTTCTTTTTTTTAAAACCTGGAATTTAAAAGAATACATGGGCAGCCAGTGTTTATCTTAAGTTTTGTATTGAGACTAATGTCTTTTAGGTATTTTTGAAGCAGCAGGGCTTCATGTGTTATACACATGAAAGCTATGTCATCAGGGTCTTCTGAATTTTTACTTCTCATCTATTTGATTAGAGCAGTAGAAACCCCTTGTCTTAGCACTTTTTTTTTAGTTGACTTATATTGAGGTAAATAATGACATAAATGAAATAAAATGGAGAAAATCCCATAAATCAAATCGCATACCTCGGAGCACCTCACTGATTTGCAAAGCAAAATGTAGTGCAGACAAATACCTGAAATAATTATGTATCCATGTAGGGCTCTTACTCAATGGTGGGCAATAATTTTTGATGCAGGGGGCACTCCAAGATTTTGGTGAGTGGTCAAGGGCCACACTTTTCTATGGAGGACTTGTGGAGTCTGGGACGGAGGTTGGGTGCAGAAGGGAGCTTGGGATAGAGGATTGGAGTGCAGGAAAGAAAGTGGGGGTCTGAGAGGCAGTTTGGATGAAGGAAGGGGTTGTGAGCTGGGGTAAAGGATTGGGGTGCATGGGCTGGGAGGGGATAGGGTGCAGGAGTAGATTTTTGACCTAGGAAAGGAGAGAAAGAGGGGGTACAGCATCTAAAAGGGAGTTGTGACTTGGGGTGGAGAGGTGCAAGAGTTTGGGTGGTGACCTGGGTTTGGGGGAAGGTGCAGAGAGTTTGGGTTGTGACCTGGGCCTGGGAGGGTGGGGTGTGACCTGGGGCAAGGAGTTGAGGAGCGAGGAAGGTAGAGTACCAGAGGCAGGCAGCTGGTCTGTGAGGGGAGCTAGTTTGTAAACTGGCTCCCCTCATGAACCGACTCCCACATGGCACCCCAGGCTACTACCTCTGGTACGGAGGCAGCAGTGCAGGATGTCAGGGGGCTCCCCAGGAGAGGGGCCAGAGCGCACTAGCTTCTAGCCCCACCCCTGGGACTATAGAGTAGTTGATTAACCTCTAAGAATTCATGCATTATGACTGTTCTGTTACCCGCTGTCTAACATCCCTAGATTAGGGATGATGTTAAGTAACCAGTTGAACAGTTACCTGGTAAGCATAACCCTTAGTGGTTAACCTGTACCTAGGAGCGGGCCCCCCTCCTGCAGTTGAGCCAGGAGTGGAGGTCTGCTCCAGCTCTGCTAGGCTCCCCACACAGAGCTGCTGACTCCCAGGCCCATGAAGATGCTGCCAGGGGCAGCTGCAGAGGCAGCCCCCTACCCGCCCTGCTTTAATCCATTAAACATAGTTTCAGCAATTACCCAGCTAAGTGGGATTTTACATCCCTAATGCAGCTAGAATCTTGGAAGAATTAACCAGCAAAGCTTTACACATCTCTGCTGAGCATGTGATGCTTGTAATTTTTTGGAGATTTATAAGTTGGCCAATTTTGGGTGACTTTCCAGAAATGGGAAAATGCACATCTCTCATACCTGGGGAAGCCCCTCCCCGTCTTCCTCCAAACTTCCTGTCTCTATTCCAAAGCATGGCGATACTAGAGCTTCTCAATGGTATGGTTATAAGGTGCGTGGGTTTGTGTTTTTTGGGGGGCAGGGTTTTTTTTGGGGGGTAACAGGGACAAAATATTTTTCACTAGTCTCATTCTCAGAAACCTTTTGAATAATTTTAGTTGACATTTTTCAAAAAATTCATCCTGAGTCAACTGACACGGAAAATTTCAGCCCTAGTAGCTAAACATTGGCAAAATTATAAGTAGCTACAAACAGTTTCCTAATGGAAAGTGCTGGGAAATCTTATCTGCCTATAATGATACTGGTACTTTTTCTTTAGGGAATGGACTTAACATGACGACTTGTAGACCTCTGAATAGACATCCTACCCAACATCTTGGTCCTTACATTCGTTTAATAAATGAAGCTAGTATTAGAGGTGTAAATCTGATGATCTAATCTCATGATTTATCCAGTTCCTTTCAAAAGATCTGGAAGGACCCTTGTTCTTCTCTCTCAGCCTTAATTGCAAATCACTATAATAGTTGGGAAATGGAGGGAGAAGGAAAATGAAATTTTAAAAATAGCTTTCTTGCATTTAATTTGGGTGCTAATTGCAATACAGTATTCCTTTCCAAGAATACGGTGCATATATCAGGAAAGCGGTTAAGAGAAACACTAAAGTAACAGCATAAAATGTGACAGATATCAAGTGATCTCTCATTTATGCTCAATTCAATTGCCTCAAAGCTGTATATTCCAAAGCTAATACATATCTTAAGAGTCCTACTTAGTGCACAACCAAACTCTTACTTCTAAAAAGCATTTTATGGACATTTTAAAAAGCAATGCTGTGTCAACTAAAGACAAATTAAAAGGTTTCCAGCGCTACACCTGCACCTAAATCACTCTGCCAAATTTCATGATTTATGGTTGCATCTTCCTATTTTTAAATTTTTCTTTCTCTTATTGCTATGTGAAAGACATCTGCAAAAGAAAAACAAATCTTACAAAAGTACTATCAAGTGGACAAAGTAAACAACCAAGGTTCAAAATAGAAATTCCAACTATAGAGCAAAGAGGAAGTCAGCTTCCATTGTAGACTAGGGGTGAGGAAATTTTTTTGTGTTGGGGGGCTGGAGACCCACAGAAAATCGGTCAGGGGCTGCAGACAAGTGGGGTGGCAGAGGGCTGGAGCACCACCATGGGCTCCCCAATGCTGGGGCGGGGAAGCCCTGAGCCTGGGGAGCCAGATAGAGGTAAACCAGGGGCCACATCCAGCCCTCAGACTGTAGGTTCCCCATCCATGTTGTAGATCAACATGGTGGGGAACTTGTTCCAAAAGAGGGGGGAGAGGGAATGACATATTAACTGTATAGCTTGACTAGTTATCTGTAATCTGCCATTGTGGATAACTTGTCTTTATACATGCCCAACTTTGAAAACACCAAATTTCCTGAAGGCGATACCTTGAAAATGTTACCTGTTCAGTTATTGAGAAGGTTGTAGGTACAGAAGTATGTCTGATGTAGAGCTCTTTCCTCTGACCAGCTCTGTACTGTCAGTACAGGCAGTCCCCGACTTACACGGATCCGACTTATGTCGGATCCGCACTTATGAACGGGGCTTTTCTTGCCCTGGAGCTCACGGGTGGCGGGTCGCCACCCGTGTCCTCCGGGGCGAGAAAAGCTTCTCCCTGTCTCCCTGGTCTGCTGGGGGGATCCAGCAAAGCTGCTGGACCCCCCCCGCAGACCAGGGACACCCGAGCAAAGCCGCCGCCTGGTCTGCAGGGAGACGGGAAGCAAAGCCTCGGAGCACGCCAGCAGTGGGACAGCCGCGGCGCGCCTAGACTGTCCCGCTGCCCGCGTGCTCTGCAGCTTTGCTCTGCGTCTCCCAGGTCAGCAGACCAGGGAGACGGAGCAAAGCCGTGGAGGACTTGGGCATGACGTTTCAAAGAGGCAGTGCAGCATGGAGCCTGGGGTCTAGACCCAGGCAGCGTTACTGCTTTGAAGTACCCCTCCTTTCCCCCCATTGCTGCCTCTTTCTGATGGGGGAGGAGGGAGAAGCGACTAGTCAACTAGCCTGTCGACTATCCGATAAGCATTTGATTATCAGATAGTCGACTAGTCATTCACATTCCTAATGAAAACCACATAGTTTAGTTCTTGATGAACAAGCTACCACAGTTTTTGAAGGTTACAAAATGTTATGGCAAATACAGTTCACACAGCTGCCTGATCATAATAAAAGATATAAAAAAATTGTGAATTTAGCTTGATCACCACTACAGATTTTTGTAAGACTTTACTGGCATTGATATTTTGTAAAAATCTTACACAAGAAATCTGCAGTAATAAAAAGCCTTTATTTGAAGCAGCAACAAATATACCTCTCAGAGAACACTCATTTTGCTGAAGAGGGTTTCTTCTGTACAGGCAGTCCCCAGGTTACTTACAAGATAGGGACTGTAGGTTTGTTCTTAAGTTGAATCTGTATGTAAGTCAGAACTGGCGCCAGCCGCTACTGAAACTGATCAGTTTCAACCACGGCTGAATCTGGATGCCAGTTCTGACTTACATACAGATTCAACTTAAGAACAAACCTACAGTCCCTATCTTGTAAGTAACCTGGGGACTGCCTGTACAGAAGAAACCCTCTTCAGCAAAATGAGTGTTCTCTGAGAGGTATATTTGTTGCTGCTTCAAATAAAGGCTTTTTATTACTGCAGATTTCTTGTGTAAGATTTTTACAAAATATCAATGCCAGTAAAGTCTTACAAAAATCTGTAGTGGTGATCAAGCTAAATTCACAATTTTTTTATATCTTTTATTATGATCAGGCAGCTGTGTGAACTGTATTTGCCATAACATTTTGTAACCTTCAAAAACTGTGGTAGCTTGTTCATCAAGAACTAAACTATGTGGTTTTCATTAGGAATGTGAATGACTAGTCGACTATCTGATAATCAAATGCTTATCGGATAGTCGACAGGCTAGTTGACTAGTCGCTTCTCCCTCCTCCCCCATCAGAAAGAGGCAGCAATGGGGGGAAAGGAGGGGTACTTCAAAGCAGTAACGCTGCCTGGGTCTAGACCCCAGGCTCCATGCTGCACTGCCTCTTTGAAACGTCATGGGGAGCACGGGGCTAGCAGGGGACTGCCCTGCTGGCCTCGTGCTCCCCACAGTGCTTTTGCCTTTGAAATGTAGCAACAGCCCTATCGATTAATAGCATTCAGTGAGTCAATTACTTGAAATTTAACATCCCTAGTTTTCATAGTTTAGAATTATTTATGTCTTTGTCCAACATGAATTGAAAACAGTTCTGCTTGTGTTTTCTTTGTTCCTTTTTGCCCTTTCAGATCCAGCTGTGGGATACAGCAGGACAAGAGCGCTTCAGAAAGAGCATGGTGCAGCACTACTATAGGAATGTACACGCCGTTGTGTTTGTGTATGATATGACCAACATTGCTAGTTTTCATAGTCTGCCATCATGGATTGAAGAATGCAAACAGCACTTGCTTGCCAGTGATATACCACGGATTCTTGTTGGAAATAAATGTGACCTGAGAAGTGCTATTCAGGTGCCTACAGACTTGGCTCAGAAGTTTGCTGATACTCACAGTATGCCATTGTTTGAAACCTCTGCTAAAAACCCCAATGACAATGACCATGTGGAAGCCATATTTATGACACTGGCTCATAAGTTGAAGAGTCACAAGCCATTAATGCTTAGTCAACCCCCAGATAACAATAAGATATATTTAAAGCCTGAGCCAAAACCTGCCATGACTTGCTGGTGTTAGATCACAATTATGCAGTTATCACCTTTTCTTGTTTGCAAATACTCTAAAAGTATGATCTTGGCAGAGTTCGAGTTTTAGTAGCAATCATGTATGATCTCTTTGGCACTTTAATGTGTGTTTCTTGTGTAGATGTGCCACTCTTGTATCTCTGCACTTTGTTCTATCTCAATAACTGAAGCTTCGCTGTACATAGGCAGAAAAATCCTTTCTAATGAAGGTTTAGCACAGCTAATTCACTTAAGTTACTTGTTTATTGAAAGCATTTCCATCGTATTGTTAATAATATAGTTTATTTATTTTTGGTTAGCATTTTGTTGATCCTTCCACATTATGCCAGAGTTTTGGAGTAGCCAGAGGATTCCCATCTTTGGCTTAATAGAGGATGAGTGTTTATGAAATGCTGGTTTCGTGGGCATTTTGGATAATGACACAGAAGACTTTAGGGCTTGTCTGCACTGACACTTCACTGCGCTGTAACTTTCTCACTCAGGGCGTGAAAAAACACACACATACCTCTCGAGCACAGCAAGTTACAGTGCTGTAAAGTGCCTTTGTAAACAGGCTCCCAGTGCAGGTGTCGTGACCACACTGCCACATTGAAGTGCTGCCTCACCACTTTAAACTCAGAAACGTAGACAAAGCCAGTTTCACTGCATCTCCAGGCAGCTATAGGTATAGATATGTGCTGTGAAAAGAGGGCAATGAATGAAATCAACCTAAAATGTGAATGGGGGAACACCATTGATCTCAGTAGTTTGCCATCCCACCTCAAATCCTGACTATTCATACACGGCAAAGGGGAGAGAATCCACAAATTCTCCTTGTCCTCAAATAGTAGTTTAAAGCATACAATTTGATAAATTATTTGTAGTTTGTATCCCACATGTGTCACTCTATATAAAATTGTTTGGATATAGCACAGGGATGGGATTTGAGAGGATCCAGGTTTCTAATCTTAATTCAGTCATATGCTGCACAATAGCGCGGAGAGCTAAATCACAGTGGAAGTTAATTGGGGCTGGAGAATGTTATGCATTAACAACACATGAAATCTTGTTGCTTCTGTGATTCCAGTGGAAAAAGTTCAGCTTCACACAACAAATGAATAGTTGTGGAATAAGAACTATCACTCTGTGCAGCATGTTCCCCTCTTAAAGTAGCATAATTGTATCTTGTATTGTACATGTCTGGTGGCAAGCTAATATCAGTAGTCATAATTCTCAGGACAACTTCCAGCCTAAATAAAATTTCTTTACTTGGATCACGTAAGAACATATATTGTTTCCGAATTGTGTATCCCACGGTAAATACATGCACTCCAGTAATCTAAAACTTGAGCAAGGCTAAAAGACAAATACTAACTTGCGTTTTGTTTTGATAAAATAATCTGAAAGTAATTTGAACGAAGAGAAAATTTGTGTGTTCTAGGGACTGAAATGCTTGGAAACAGTGCTGGTTCTGGTGTCCAGTTGCCACATACAAACCTGTGCCTTAGCTTTTGAAAATGTCAAGGCCATTGTTTTAATGGTATTAAACTGGTTTTTGCCAGGAGAATATGAAAGTAGATATTCTGTGTAATTGAACTTGGCAACAAACTTCCATGATTGCATTCAGTTTATGCCCACGTACATAATAATGAAATGATCTCTTTTTCTCTTTATAGAACAGAGAAACTTGAAATTCTTTAAATACAGAATCATATAAATTAAATATGGAGAAGACCTACCATTTCATTTTTTTCAGCCCCAAACAGATTTTCTTTAATAGATCTTCAGGTTAAATCCTGCTTGGGTAGTCCTTTAGAGCTCTTCTGCAAAAATAAGATGAAGTAGGTTTGGTTGTTTTTTAGTTTTGTTTTTAAATCCTCTTCTCCTTCTTAACTCGGCTATTAACTTTGATCATGAGGAGGTCCAACATCCATGATTAAAACATCAGGGGACCTGACAAAACTATAGAAAGTATTGCAACCATTTCATTTCAGTTTTTTGTATGCTTATTTGAAGGTCATTTTTCATATTGGAAAGCATTCTGGACTGCACGTAACTGCATGGTTACATCAAAAGGGAATGTAAGCCATAACTTAATTTAACGTATAACATTTATATACAATCTAACAGTAGCTTGCTTTGATTTGTACCTTCAAAGAAAAAAAAATTAAAAATGAGGAACTCTGCTTACAATATGTATGCTGTAGAATATTGACTGAAAACTAACCAAGAACACTGTTTTAGAACTTTATCATCTATTTTCCTTGTGGCCATGTTATGGTAATTAGCAGGGCTCGCCAGCCGCGCGGTTCTGCGCTGTGCGCATGCGCAGATCGTTCTGCGCATGTGCAGATCGCTCCATGCCGGCTCTTCCGGGGTGTAATCTACTTGTCACAGGCGAGTAGATTACACTATTTGTCGAGCCCTGGTAATTAGATAACTGAAGCAAGATAATTATATTAACCAAACTACGAGTAATAAAGAGAGTAATTATTCTATTAAATTCTACATTGGTGAAGAAGAAAATGTACTGGCTTTATTCTAGGTTTAGAAAGATCTATCTGGCCTAATCATGAGGAGATTAAGGATTTTTAAGATTTTTTTAAAATTATTTTTAAGCAAATTATTTTTTGTAAAGCCACAACTGAGACAATTTTATTTGTGCAGTACTTGAAAAGAGGAACTCATCTGTTTCTAACCTTAAGTAGAATTTGATTTACGGTAATTACTCGTTTAATGCATGCCTGCTTAATACTTTTTCACAATATCATGAATTTTTTGAGGGAACGTTTTTTGAATAACATGACTGTCCCTGTTTTTGAATAACATGACTGGCCCTGTTGCTGACAGCTGCGCAGGGCTTCCCCCGCCTCTCTGCAAAGCAACGGAGGGTTCGCCGCTCACCGCACCGTTCCCTGGCGACCCCCTGTTGCCGGATGCAGTGCTGGTCTCGGCAGATCCGTCGCAGGGCGTACTGTACTCCCAACGCAATCCCCCTCCTCTCTCCTCCCCTTCCCTTCTCCAGAGCCAAACACCTCCCCTCCCTGCCATAACCCAGTCCCCTTTCTCCACTAACCTTATGTTCTGGTCCCGGCTGCTAACTAGTGCAAGCTGGAGCCATGAGTGCGCATGCGGCTCTTAGCAGCCCCGGCGCACTTCTGGGTTCCAGCTGATGCCCTATTGGGAGTTTTACTGTACTGTACAGTACATCGTCTAATGTTGACGTTGACGACTCAGCACCAACAGAAAATTGACTTTGACACCACCACTTGAAATGCAACCCCCAGCTTTTCCATTATTTTCAATGGGAAAATTGACCCCGCATAACACATTTTCACTTACGTTTCAGAAAATGATCATGTTATCTACCGTGTTAAATGAGGAATTACTGTACTAGGAGCTTAAATGATTTTTAAAAAGGGATTGATTTTAAATATATTTGTAGTACTACAAATAACTATGGTTTACAGTCCTCTTAGAGGATTTTATTTTTTCACTCATATTCTTAATCCTCTTTCAAAGGATTGATCTAAAGTGTTTGTATAGTATTACAGTATTTCAACAAACTTTATAATCTTAATTTTTTTATTTTTTAATATTCTAAATATTCTCAGGCCTCTGAGAGAAAGGCAGTAAATTATGTAAACAATATAAATGTTCAGCTCTCATAATAAGCAGCTGGGAATCTATCAAATTTTATTTGAGCAAATTACTTACAGTTTGTAAATAAAGGCCCTGAATCTTAACAACATGAAATAATGTTTAGCTATGTAATCTAGTCTTTTCAGCACCAAGCATGTTTTGATATTCATATCCTAGAGACATTGTAATCTTTAATTCAGGATCCAATATTCTTCCTAGCTTGCTGTAGTAATTAATGTTCCATTGTCAGAAAGGATATCTAGGTATTGAATGTTTTGTGTATGTATTTTCATTCTACCAAAATAAAGTCTTTATTTTGTTTGTTTTTAATAAACAAACCAGAGGCACAATCCCAGCAACCTAATAAACTGGCTTTACCACAAATAATAACCATGGTTTTTCATTTGTGGTGTTTGGGGGACACGAAACTACAGGGTGGACCTCCCTCATCCAGCACCCACAGGACCTGAACGAGGGGAGGTTCCTCCCAGATCAGGGGAGGTTCCTCCCAACACAGCCCATGCTGTCCTGCTGCCCCCAGCTATGGAGGGGAATGAGTAGGTGTTGGGGGCCTCGGAGAAGGAGCCACCCTTGGTAGAAAGTCCCCCCAAAATGTAAATGAAAATGGGGGGAGCCTCTGGCTGCTAACATTTGAAAACTGATGATCTATGTCATCCTGCCAGCTGTTTATATAATTTGCTCCTTAAGCATTTTCAGTGATGGAGATTCCACAGCCTCCTCCAGGCAATTTCTTCCAGTGCTTAACTACCCTGACAAAGTTTTTCCTAGTGTCCAAATCAGACTACCCTTGCTGCTGCCAAGTGCAGCCCAAAGCTGATTGAATGCTGGGATGGAGAGAAACCACATCATGGGACATTAAATCACACCCACGGTCCCTCTAATTGTTTATATCCATATTCAGTGGAATAAATCTTATGTGCACCAATATGGAGGTGGTGT